CGCCTTGAGGTGCGTGTGCCAAACAAAATGCCTTTGCATGCTATGCTCTGTCACATGTGCTGGGGTTGCCTACCCCTGTCCTTGACCCTGATCTCAGATTGATCTACTGACCTCCTGCCCTGCCACCTCATTTGAGCTTAGATTCATCCTGCCTCTGACCAGCACCTTGATCCCTGAATGACCCCAGACCTGGCTACCCAGGTCCTAGCCTGACATTGCCTGCTGCTCTCTTCCTCTTAAAATAACAGGGGTCTTTGACCTTTATTACAAAGTCATAAAAACAGCCAAAAATTGTTCTACATTACAATTTTCATTCACGTCATTCCCTTGTCATTCATGCTGTGATTAATAAAATTGCAACATACAGGTTTCCCTCAGTTTATGCTGAACATGCATTCCTGGAAAACAGCACATAACTTGAATTTGCATAAAGGGAACCCACTTTACAATGTAACAAATAGGGATACATTCCAAGACCTCGACTGTACTGACCCAGACCCATTTCTACCACTTTTACAAGACAGTTTTGGTACTCACCAACAGCAGGCAGTACACACAAGCACAGAGTGGTAGTGAATGTTTAGTTGGTGTGAAGAGGGTGGTGAAGACTTCATTGATGGACCAGGGAGAGGGGTATGAGATAAGTTAGTGGGACACTTAGAAAACATAATGGGGATGGCAACTACAGAAAAAGGTGTCACAGACAATGAGTAAGGAGCACAGAAGACTATATTTTGGTGCACGTCACTTCCACAATGCACCACACAAAGTAGCTGACTGCGGGCTTCCACCACACCAAATCACATAAGAATGAATTTACCTTGCATGTTACAGATTTTTGGTGTAAAAAGGGTCATCGCATAAGAGTGAATTCTCACATACAGAACCCGAATAAAGCAAGGGAAACTTGTATATGTAATGTATGGAGGGACGTTATTAACAGAATTATTCATTTGTATTTTATCATGTCACAGATACACAAGGAAGGATGCAGTCAGGGAAATAAAATTATTTTTATCTGGAGAATTCACAAATCAGAAGTTTTTGTTCTGCAGTTTTGACTCACCTAAGTCCTGTGGAAAACACGGAACCTACTCATGTGAGTATGGGAAACCATGTTAGGCCTGTATATATACTGTATTTTCTCACCTATAACATGCCCCCAAATGAAACATGAACCTTGTTTTTGGAAGCCAGAATGTAGAGAAAAAGATTTTTCCAGAGTCATGGCCAACTGTGTGACAAAGTAAGTTTTCCTAGAAAGAAAAAAGTCACCATGAAGTGTGGCATCAGGAACTTCCTGGTGTGACAGACTGCCTCCTGTAATGCCACACTTTTGAGACACTCTGTTTCCAAGAGAACTTACTGTATGTCATAAGGTTAGGCCCCAGCCCCTTGCAAGCAAATCTGTAAGTAATTCCTATATATAAACTGTTGTTTCCATATCACAAGCCTCATCAAGATATTACTAGCAGCTTAGTTTATGCTTTAGGAACAGTCTATCATGCTTAGCCAGTAGCTACAGCTGGGAGAGGGTTAACACAGGATTCCACTCTTTCAGTTTGCTGAGCAGACACAAGCGGCAGCCATGTTGGCAGCTGCATGGCATCTCCAGGCATAGGCAACTGGTAGGGCGTGCATGGGGGTGAAGGAACCGGTGCCCCCCCTGAAGGCCAACACTGATGCTGTCAGAGGGGCTGGTGCCCCCCTGACAGGGCCACCGTTGTTGGCGGCTTCTGTGGGTGCCCCCCCAGATTCAGGAGGCACCAGTCACTCATGTCTACAGGAATGCCCCTTTTCCAGCCAACAAAATAGTTTCCCTGTTTAAAACACCTGCCCCCTGCCAATTTGGGGTAAAAAGGTGCAAGCTGTATGTGAGAAAATATTGTGATCCATGATAGGCTATCACGATGGATAAAATATAAAGGCTTCCTCAAAGCACCACATACTTGTATACAATTATTTTCACACCGACCAGTTTTACAAAAATAAATCAAAGAATAGTTTACCTTCTTCAGTCATGCATTTGATTAACTCCTGTTTTGTAAGATATCCATTTTTATTCTGATCTAACACCTAAAACAGAAAAGGAATAAAACTTTGGGTTTTTAATCTCACTTGTTTTCCCCTTAAGAGAGATTTTAAGTTTGTAGTTACAGACCTCAAATGCATGCAAAAGAACATCTTCTGGAACAGGCCGGTATCTGAAATTATTCAATTAAAAGAGTTAATGGTATGATTTGCAAAGCTACTATCCTTTTTTGGAAAGATAAATCCTAAACTTTAATGAAAAAGGGAAAAACTGCAGACAATCTAGGGAAACTGCCTGTGCACAGTTTAACAAATTCCTGTTTGGTTTTACTAACAGTCTGTATCCTGGTGTCTTACAATTATCTTGTACTCTGTTTTTGCGTCAACCACAGGCAAGTTGGTTCTCTATGCCTGGGTTGGGTATGTGGACTATCAAAACTTGATATTTGACAAATTCAACCTAGCCAGTACAATGGTTATGCTAATGGAGGAGTGGGCAAAATATGACCAGTGGACTGGATGCAGCCAGCCAAGCCATTCTATCTGGCTCACAGGGCCCCTAAAAAAATTAGGGAATTAATATTAAATCTTCCCTAGGTACCTGTCATGTGGCCCTCGATGGCTTGCCAAAACTCAGTAGGTGGCCCTCCGCCCAAAATAATTGCCTGCCCCTGTGCTAATGGATGCACCAGGAAATCTGTCCTACCCAGGTGGGCTGGAAATTAACAACAGGTCACCTAGTAATGACTTTGAGGTGAAGAAAATGCGGTGGCAGGGGGGTTGTTGTTGTTTATCTACAACCATTTATCTCTTGGGCTATCTATACTGAAGTGTAAGTTGTGGCGGGTGCAGAGATCCC